GAGGAGGCTGGGGGTGCACGGGGAGCTGGGAGGGGACACAGCCGGGACAGCTGACCCAGGCTGGCCAGAGAGATATTCCATACCATATGACATCATGCTCACTGTATAAAGCTGGGACAAAGAATAAGGAAGGGGTGGAGGGATGTTCAGAGTGATGGCATCTGTCTTCCCAAGAATCCATTACGCATGATGCAGCCCTGGTTCCTTGGGGATGGCTGAACACCTGCCTGCCCATGGGCAGTGGTGAATGGATTCCCTGTTTTGCTCTGCTTGTGTGTGACCTATTAAACTGTCTTTATCTCAAACCATGACTTTCCTCACTTTTAGTCCTCCGATTCTCTCCCCCGTCCCACCATAGGGGAATGAGTGAGCGGCTTCGTGGGGCTTAGTTGCTGACTGGGGCTAAACCATGACACCCATTCCCTGTAGAGACGGTGCTCCTACGAGTAGAGAAAAGGCTCTGTATGGGTCACCTAAGATACCTACAATAAATTCAGCATTTCGTGCCAAGCACTTGATTCAGCATGGGAGTACATTGCTTTATGCAGGGGATTTGCAAAAATAATATTGAATATCCCTTGCACCAAAAGGCAAATAAACATTGCAAGTGCTCAAATGCCACCAGACAGACTACACTGACCTGGTCCCCCCCCAAAAAAATCTGTCACATATGCCTGACTTCTTAAGCTTTTATTAATGAAAAAACACTTGCAACTACAGAGTCTATACTAGTTTGTATTTTGTGTTGATGCATAGTGTTAGAGGCCAAATTTAGTTCAAGTTACAATGATGCAAGTCAAAGGTAACATCATTGACACAGTTACTTTCTCATTTGTACCCATGGAGCTGATCAAAATCAGGCCCATCACCATTTTTTCAGAAAGTATAAAGAACAAGATTTTTGCAAGGATGAGGTCAAGGGTTTCAAAAATTACTGCCAATTAAACAGAATGAAACAACCTACTATAACCTGAAGAGACACCTAAAGCTTTCTCATTGGATTCCTTTTTCTCACTTTAAGATTTAATAAGCAACATAAGCACCAAATAATTTGCCACACTTGTAGGTTTAAGGGGAAAAAAGCGCCATAAAGCCAATAAAGAAAGAAAAATCCCATAACAGCGAAGTTCATGTCCCAACAACAAGCGTTTACATCTCTGCTGAGAAACCAACACAGATTTCTTTTAAGTAGATATATGTTTGATGTGAACATTTAAAAATGTTTTAAATGATCTAACGACATTCAAGGAAAAAGGCAACTGGCAGCTATCCATTGAAAATAAACAGTAAAGCTAATATTTTATGCTCAGGAAAGCCAAATCAGGATCTTTTAAAGACAAGTAATTTAAAATAGTAATCTATTATTCTGTGGATAGGGAGCATTTCCTCCATCTAAACTATACACATATTATTAAATGAAAATCTAAGTTAAGTTAAACGCTTCTACCTTTTAAAATACAATAATAAACTATCAAGAAAAAAAAGAAATGTAAAGGATAATTAATCTTTTTGTCTTGTTTAATCAATTAAAATACACAATAGCAGTTGAAAGGATGACCTCCAGGAATCTTGAGCAACACTTAGCAGCAGACCTCAGTGATGAGATCTGTAGCACCTTCCAAAACAGTATGTTTTTTAAACTTCGATTCATGGACAATAGCAGATTTTGGAAGAGACTCAATTTCAATCTAGACTTTGAATCTTTCTATGATATTCTTTGTAAAAAATTACTTTGGTTTCAGCTAGCCTATGCCTGCAGCAAATTATCCCCCCATCAATATGGTCTGGAGTCTCTTCCCAATTCTCTCAAGTCTCACTTGAAAGCCCAGAGAATGAAGAGGTTTGAGTTTCACGAGGTTTGGAGCAGAGAGAAAATAAAGCAGGATGCCTAGGAATGAGTGCAGAGAAAAAAAAGTCACAGATTCACTATGGTCTAAAGTAGGGTTACTGATGCATTTGCACTGTAAAAATTTTCATTGCTCTTGGGTCTTAACAAGTAATAAGCAGTATTTACAATCACTCTTGCTTTACAGAGCAACCAGGTCTTTGCAAGACTGCCGACATGTCTACCTTATGCAATGCACTACTAAATCTCAGATACCCAAACAAGTTCCAGATGAATTGGTACTGCTGCATGGCACAGTCCAGTGCTGTGTGGAAATAACTGCTTGACCCCCCAAAACAGCACAGCCTGGGCACACTACTGCTGTGATTCGTCCGCATTGCTTTTGTTTCCAGGGCTGGTTCATTCAGACACTTTTCAAGTATTTCTGCTTAATGCTTACTTAACTGTAGACATTTTCCCAAGTACCCCCAAAAAATAATATTGGGTTTTCTTCATTGCACAGGTCTGGCATCATGGAAAACTTTGTAATTTCACCCTCCTAATCAAGGTTGCATAGAAACAATAAGTATCACACAGTTCCATAGATCACAAGATTTGCTTAACAATCATGGGATTTAAATAAATAGATACATAAAAATGGGGTCTTATTTGCTTTTGAGATCTAATGGATCGCATTTTCAAACTTTTGAAAAGTCCTTGACCACAAAGTCTTACAAATGGACTTAAAATTTTCTCATAACAATATGACTGGAAATTGAGTCTCTCAAAATACCAGATGTTGGTTAACTCATGATGATGCTGCAAGAGTTGGCTACATGTGGCCCAGAGGTTTCAATATGAAGGTCTGTCAAGATTGTCTGGCCTTGCCCATATTACTAGCAATACTTCCTGAAAGCTTTCAGGTTAAACTCATTTTCCACATGAGAAACACTGGTATTTCCCATGTTCCTGAAGTTAGTGTGCTGCCTAGGTTGATTAAAGTATACCATCAAGAATGCGAGCAACAACTGCTATTTTACTCAACCCTGCGAGGATCACCCCAGTTTAAAGGGGCTAACTTGGGCTCCTGGAAAAATGTTAAACATTCTTTGTTAAGTTAGTTTCTGTGTCAAAGGAATGAGGTTTTAATGCAGTAAATAGCAGAGTCTGGAGAACGTGCCCTGTGAGATCAGCTTAAACCAGATAAAGTCTCAGCTAACAGATTTTCTGTGTCATTATAGCAATGTTATACAGCACTGTATCAGTGAATCTCATCAGTGTATCAGTGAATCTTGAAAAAGGCTGTCCTAACAAACCTAGCCTAGTAATCATCATAAAATTAGTGGATCTTTAATTATTCCTTTGACTTACAGAACTCTTATTTGGAGTCATGCTGACTGCCAGTGAGTTAATTCTTCTCTTAAGTCTGCTAATCATTCCTGCAGTCATAAATGCACACTAAACAGGAGCACAGAACAAGTAGGATTAGACATTATATCACTTAAAACATGTGAACCAACTGCCCTCCATGCCTCCCAGACTGGCACTTCTCCACATCGCTGTAGATAAACTGGAGACCAATTAAGTAAAGAGTTTTCCAGTCACTGAGTATCTGGGGGAAGGGTTAAGCATACTTAAAACAGAAGATACACTTTCAGTGTGATTATCTCTTGTAGTCTCTGTTTC